CCCCCGAGCGACCCGCTGCTGCAGCCCTATTTCCCGAACGGGCACGGCCCTCGGCACCACCACCGGTTCGTCAGGGACTGCCAGCCCGTCAGGTACGGCAACGTGACACACGAAGCGTGGCCCAGCGACAACAGGACAGGTGGCCCGGTGGCTACCACCAGGACGTTTGTTTCTTACATCCCCCCGGAGGGCGAGGAGCGCAAGGTGGTCTATGGCCACTTCACTTTCGTGAGGAACCCGCTGAGGACCTTCTCAGTGCTGGAGCCGGGTGGCACGGGAGGCTGCCAGGCACACCGCAGAGCCACCGTGGAAGAGACCGCAAAGCTCGGGAAGTGCCTGGTGGCCCAGAACGGTGGGTACTTTAACATGGAGACTGGGGAGTGTTATGGGAACGTCGTGAGCGATGGAAGACTGGTGAGAAACTCCGGAGGGCTGCAAAACGCTCAGTTTGGCATCCGGAGAGACGGCACCATGGTGTTCGGGTAAGAACTTTGGGATCGTTTGGAGAGTGCTCTCTTCTCCCTCAAGACTGGTAGGCGTCACTGAGGCAGGAAGCACTGCCTGGGCGCTGCCTCCTTGGCCTCTCCAGCTAGAGCAGAAGCATGCTTTGAATGCCAGAATTAGGGATGTCCTACCTGTACCCCGTTCAGCTATCTTTCTGGCCATTGGCTTTTTTCCCCTAGGATGAAGGGAAGCTGGATGAGTTACTCTGATGATCTCTAGCTGCTTAGCTTCCTGTGTCTCCTCTCCCAACATGCAACAGGTACACCTGATTATGGTCGAAAGGGGGAGAGGTCTCTGTCCTCCCCGCTGCTCTGGCTGCAGTACAGAAACACTGAGGTTGGAAGGGACTCTGGAGGTGCCTCATCCAACACCTTGCTCAGCACAGGGTTAGCTGGAGCAGGTTGCTCAGGGCTGTGTCCAGTGGGGTTTTGAATATCTGCAAGGATGGAGACTCTACAACATCTCTGGGCAAACCTCTTCCTGCAGTTGACCACCCTTTACAGTAAAAGAGTTTGTCTTAGGTTAAGTTACTTACTGCTAGGCAGAAATCCAGGCATCTCCTGGGTTGCCAGTGTTCTGCTGTGTTGCCCTCTCAGCAGATAGCAGGATGGTTAAAGTCACTCATAAGTGCCAGGGCCGGTGAACACGAGGCTTTTTCCACTTTTCTAAAGATCTTCTCTACTGTTTCCCAACCAGGGAATCTGTGACAGTCACCCACCATGATGTCACCCGTGTTGATCTGCCAGATCTCTAATCCTAACCTGTGTCCCTCAGGTAGCTTGTGGTGAGTGCCAAGGCAGAGCTCTGGGCGTTCCTGCTGCTCGCTCATGTTAAGGGCAGCTGCTCCCCTCTTCTCCCACCACCTTCCCTGGGTACAGACTCTCACCATGTCCTTATTTGTGTGCACGCAGCTTGGATCCCCTTTTGTCTATACTCTGTTGTTTAAAGTTCTTGTGCGCATGTCACCCCGTGACCTTCGCTTTGCAGCCTGGTCTACCACTTCCTCACTTGACTGTGGGTGATCATCTCCCTCCTGTGTCCTTCCGGGTCTAAAGCTCTCCTCAGCAGATCACCTACTTAACAGAAGTTACTTTTGCCTCACTTGGTCAGGTCCTCATTCCTCAGAGAAGGTTCTATCCTTGTAAAAGTCAAATTCTTGTTGTCAACACCAGCTGTGCTAGTGCATATTGACCCACAGAATCCATCCACTGCTTCTCAAGCCCTTCTTCCTCACCAGTGGGATTGAGGAGAGAACTACCTGGGCTACCCTTGGCTCTCACCCCCCGAGCTGAGCAGTTGCTCTTGATACACTCCTGGTTTCCCCTGGCAGTGCTGTTGGGGCTCATGTGGAAGAGCAGCAGGGTGTAGTAGCCTGAGGGCTGGAGAAACCTCAGCAGTCTCCTGATCTGACCCCCCAGCACACCTCCCTAGACAGGTTAGCAGATGGGGACCTCTTCCCCCCACAGCAGGGAGCTTCCCCCGATCCCTCACCTACCTCCTCTGGTGCTGCTGCAGGGCTCAGGCTCAGCTGACACAGACACTTCATTTCACAGAGCTCCCAGGGCACTGAACCTGGGTGGAGGAAGAGCTCCCTCCTGCTGCCAGAGCTCACAAACTTCCAGCCTTCATCATCACAGGAGTTGCCACCCCAGTGAGCAGGTCCTGGGTGCTCCTTCTGGGCATTATGGGGTGCAGGGTTTTGTTTCTGCAGGCTATTAGGGAAGATCTGTTAATCTCTTTCTCATCATCCCTGCTGCTGTGCAGCATGCAGACCTCCTCCTGTAGCTCCTTGTCCCAGCAGCGTAGCTCCTCAGCCAGCATACACTAGGACATCATTTCCCTTGGTCCCAGCTTCAGGGAGAGACCCCAGGCATCCCCACAGCCTGAGAGCTGGAGCACTGCCTTCTGCCTCCACAGCTTGAGCTGAATTGAGGCATCAGCTACACTGCAGGTAGTTGCAGAAGCCACTGGTGGAGCCTGTGCCCTGTGGTATGTCACCAGACATTGCCCTCTGCAGAATTTCCAGCTCCACACCACATGAGCTGCAGCATCTCTCACCTCCTGAGAGTTGTGCCCTCAGCCTGGCGGTTATATAGGCCTCTTCCTGCCAGCTGAAAGGGTGTGTGATGCTCCCAAATCAGGAGCCACCTGGAGACAAAAGCACAAAACACCCTGTAATGAGGAACAGCTGACAGAGGGACTGTTAGTGCTTGCTGGAAGTAGAGGCCCCCAGTAGCCGCCCTTCCCCAGCAGCAGAAGGCACCATAAAACACCATAGAAGGGTTCCCAGAGGTCCTTCTGTTGGTCTCAGAAGTTCTCGGAAGATTGAGCAGCAGTCTGGAAGCTGCTGCATCTGTTGGCTGCATTCTCCATCCTCCTGTTAGCCCGCTTCCGTGTGCCCTCAGACCTCAGCAAGTGTCTGCCAAGCCAGACTGACTGTACCAAGCCAGGGCTTACTGTCCCGTCATTCCCTGACAGCCCTGAGAGCCACGACCTTAATTTCCGTGGTGGAGGGGCTGGGGGAGTTGGTGACATGTCCACTTTTTCTGCCGAGGGGACCAACAGCAGCTGCAGGAGCACTGTGGAGTCCTTATTCCCTGCTTCTCTCCTGCTCTGGCAGGACTTCCCGTGTTAAATGGAGTGAGGGCGCTGTGAGCTGTTGTCTGCTCGGGTCTTTGTGGCTTCCAGAACACGATACGGGAAATAGTTTTGGTGTCAACCATTTGGGCTGTCAGGGAAAGTGGTTCTCACTCGACCCTTTTGTACCACCTCGTGCTCAGCAGGACAGTGCACCAGAGCACGGTGTCACCCCCCACCTGGCAAAGATGCTGCCTCTGTCACCTCAACGGGTGCTGGACGATGGCAGGCTTCAAAAGCTGGCAGTCAAGTTGTCCCTGCTCAAGCTGTTGTGCAGTTTGATCCGTTTTCAGCCGTGTTCATTTTGTCTTCGTGTTCCCTTCCCGGGGGTAAAGGGGTTTCTTTTTCGGTGTTTCCCATTCAGGTGTTGCCAATTACTCTTTTCCACAAAGTGTGAAGCTTTGTTTGGCTGCAGTCTTGGACACTGAAATAATCGAGAAGTTGAGCATCCAGCTCTCACAAGAAGCGTGGGCAGCAGGGCGAGGGAGGGGATTCTGCCCCTCTGCTCTGCTCTCCTGAGACCCCACCTGGAATACTGCGTTCAGCTCTGGGGTCCCCAACATCAGAAGGACATGGAGCTGTTGGAGCGGGGCCAGAGGAGGCACCGAAGACACTCCAAGGGCTGGAGCACCTCTGCTGTGGAGACAGGCTGAGAGAGTTGGGGCAGTCCAGCCTGGAGAAGAGAAGGCTCCGGGATGATCTTATTGCAGCCTTCCAGTACCTAAAGGGGGCTACAGGAAAGCTGGAGGGGGGCTTTTTACAAGGGCATGTAGTGACAGGACAAGGGGCAATGGATTTAAACTGAAAGAGGGGAGATTTCGATTGGATCTAAGGAAGAAATTCTTCCCTCTGAGGGTGGTGAGGCACTGGACCAGGTTGCCCAGAGAAGTTGTGGCTGCCCCATCCCTGGAAGTGTTCAAGGCCGGGTTGGATGAGGCTTTGAGCAACCTGGTGTAGTGGAAGGTGTCCCTGCCCATGGCAGGGGGGGTGGAACAAGATGATCTTTGAGGTCCCTTCCAATGCAAATCGTTCTGTGATTCTGTGATTCTATGCCTGGAGCACGTAGAACGATCAGTTTTAAACCAACACCCACTGGCAGAGCGTACAGCAAAAGCACGGCTGGTCGGCCCCAACCTTTGCTGCTGTCAGTTCCCAGCATGACCTGTCATCCGGTCCTGACGAGGCAGATGTTACTCAGCACCCTGATTCTTGAGAGAAGATCCCTTGGGCAGCACCCCACAGTGACATGCAATGCCCCATCACGGAGTGGAAGCTGAACAGTCCTTCTGCTGTCCGACTGCCCAGTGGAAGGGTTTGCTGTCTGGAAGAGGAGAGGAAGCTCTTTCCCAGACGGAGGGGAGCAGGGAGCATCCAGCAGTGTCTTCCCTTCAGTGCAGCTGTAGGCAGACTGGACGCTGCTGCTGAAAACCCTCTCAGAAGCTGTTTGCTGTCACCGTTTTGCAGAGTGGAAGCTGACAGCCAGCAAGATGTTCCAGCTGCTTCCACAGATCCCCAAGTATTTGGCAGTGGCTCTGCCCTCACGTTCTGCCAGGTGCTTCCTGCCCTTATTATCCTGGCTCGGGTCCACCGGCAACGTTGCTGGCAGGAGTTTGTTTCAGACACAGTGGCCTGGGACCATCAGCAGGACCATCAGTGGTTTTGTGCGGAATAGAGGAGACAGGGACCACTGTGGCTGCCAAAGTGGTGTTTCGCACTGCTTGGCTTCTAGTTTGGCATGTAGCTAGCCTGTGTTCAGCCACCTTCTCCCTGCTTCTGGAGCCTGCTGGCAGCAGCAGAGGCCCTTCTGTGACGCTGCTGTGACTGTGGGTAACCCCTCCTGCTCTCTCTTTCCTAGTTACCTGTCTGAGGAAGACGTCTTGGATCAAGTGAACCCTTTTGTGCAGCTCGTGAGCGGCGTAGTTTGGCTCCTACGAGACGGAGAAGTGTACATCAGTCAGAGTCAAGTGGCTGAGTGTGGTGAAACTCAAACCACAGGTAAATATCGTAAAGCCTGGCCTCAGCCTGGGCGTAGCTTGTCCTTCTCACAGGGCTGTTGGAAGGAGGGGGTAGCAGGAGAAACTGTGTCGTCTGGTTGCACTTTGCTCTTCACCTCAGAGGTCCAGATATCTTCTGTGCCCCTTTACCCCGAGTCTGGGCGAGCGCAGCACAAGAACCGGGCTGCCTGCGAGGTGAGGCTACACCCACCTGCTCAGGGCTGCTCAAGACAGTTTGGTGAGGACTGTGAGCAGTGGTGGCATGACTGGTGTTAACACTTGTCCAGAGAAACTCAAAGCAAGTGCCTTTTCCAGGAGTTTAAAACTGAGGGCTTCCGAATCCCCTCCTTTGTCCCTATGCCAGACAAAATCTTGACAAGAGTGCTTCTGGAAACGTTATTCCTAGATGGGCTTGGATGAGCAAGAGGAGCCTGGCCTCTGTCCTTGTTATGTTTCAGTTTAGATGAGCTCCTTGCTGCGAGCTGTTCTGCAGACAGATGTGTCTAAACAGCCACTTCTGTCACCCACAGCTGGTGTGTGAGTTATTCCCTCTCCTGCACAGGGACCTTCAACAAGTTCATCAATGTGGTGTCAGCCAGGACTGCGGTCGGACACGACAGGCGGGGGCAGCTGGTCTTGGTTCACATGGACGGACAGACGGAATCCAGAGGGTAAGGGCAGGGTTGTGGTACGGCCTCAGGTCAGGTGCAAGATCGATCTTGCACTCCATCACTGGAACTGGAGGGACTCTGCAGCTGCCAGGAATATGTTTAAGGCAGAGTTTCAGAGCTCCGGAGGTCACCACTGTTCCGTGTCTTTCAGGCAGAGCCAGAAAAGGCTCCAGGCAGTGAGTCAGCACGCCTGGGATGGGAGAGCTTCCCCACTTCCACTGAGGAGCCACCTTCCAGTATAACACTTCCATTGAACGAGCAACAAACAACTGTTTGCTTTCGCAGGGTCAACCTCTGGGAAATGGCCGAATTTCTGAAGCAGCAGGGAGTCATCAATGCCATCAACCTGGATGGTGGAGGGTCCGCAACGCTGGTCTTGAACGGGACCCTGGCAAGCTACCCCTCTGAGCACTGGTAGGTGCCCAGGGCTGCAGGAGTAACCACGCAGCTCCCGTTGGCGTGCAGGGCTCGGTCCTACCCCTCTGCTCTGCCGGGGGGTCCGGCTGCATTGCTGGAATCCACAACGTAAAGGCAAGTGACAGGTTTTCAGGGAGAGCGACTCTAAAATTTAAAGCAATTCAGTGACTTTTTACATACTTTTTCCACTTAGTCACCCGGCATTAAAGTTTAACTGTTTTCAGCCGTGCTGCAAAGCTGTTCGACGTGACTGAGTGGCCTGACGTGGGTATCAGATAAGGAAACAGCTCCTAGGCTGGGAGATTCGGAGCTGCACGTTCACAGGAATTAGCAGAGATCCCTCCACAGCTTATTATTAGGGAAGAGGAACACTGAGTTGGAGACCCTGCCTCATGTGAGAGTACTTGGAGAATATTTTATGTTAAATTTAGTCTTTTAGTAATTTCTGACTGTGAGCATGAAGGGATTTAAACTTCAGTTGGCAGTTTGACAGCTGAAAGCGAAGCGTTGCTGTAACTGCAATGACATCACTCACATCAAAGCAAACAATAGCCAAGAAAAGGCAGACTGAACACCAAAGTTAGGGTGCTCAGGCACTGGAACAGGCTGCCCAGAGAAGCTGTGGCTGCCCCATCCCTGGAAGTGTTCAAGGCCAGGCTGGGTGAGGCTTTGGGCAACCTGGTGTAGTGGAGGGTGTCCCTGCCCATGGCAGGGGGGTTGGAACTGGATGGTCTTGAAGGTCCCTTCCAACCCAAACCATTCCATGATTCTATGATTCTATAAGCTAGGACTGCTTAAAGGGAGACTTTGCTTGGATGTTACTGTAATTCTGTGTTTGAAGTCCTGTCCAGTGGGAGTTAACAGTTAAAACATCGCCTCAAATCTAGTTTTCCCATTATTAATGTTCTTCTTTGCCAACATGAATCAGGATGAAAATTTGTGGATTACACCAGCGGCTTTCACGTCGGGCTGGGAGCAGCGCAGTGCTCACACACCTGACAGGACCCATCTTCTGTCCCCAGCTCCTTCGACAGCATGTGGCGTTGCCCTCGGAGCATCTCGACCGTCATGTGCATCCACGAGCCCACCTGCGAGCCCGCGGACTGCAGCGGGCACGGGGCCTGCGTGGAGGGGGAGTGCCGCTGCGCCGGGGGCTTCTGGAGCGGCCCCGCCTGTGACATCCTGGACTGTGGCCCTTCCAACTGCAGCCTGCGCGGCGTCTGGACCGACTGTGAGGCACTGCGGC